AGAGGAAGCACATCCGAGCATCAATGCTGCCACCCCGAGACCCTCCCGGAAGTCAAGGGGAAGAACGAGCATCAGATGCTGCCACCCCGAGACCCTCCCGGAAGTCAAGGGGAAGAACGAGCATCAGATGCTGCCACCCCCTGACTCTCCCGGAAGTCAAGGGGAAGCACGTCCGAGCATCAGATGCTGCCACCCCGAGGCCCTCCAGGAAGTCCAGGGGAAGCACGTCCAAGCATCGGATGCTGTCACCCCGTGGCCCTCCTGGAAGTCAAGGGGAAGCACGTCCAAGCATCAGTGACCGCTGCCGGGACTTCACCCTTGGTAGCCATTGTTGTGGTTGTGCTTTGTCTTCAGAACAGCACCAGGAAAGCCTGCCCGTTTCTGCTCCAGTTCTTGGAAGAGAAGCTCGAGGACCTTGACGCCGCCTGTTCAACAGTTTGCACTGGCAGCCCTGCTCCTGCCTGCCCCGACCCGTGCAGCCCTGAACTCGCTCTGCCTTGCAGGTGTGGGGTCTGGGGTGTTGGCTGCTGCTGCCGCTGCCATTTGCCGATCCTCTTCAACTAGGACGTGGATAAGACTGACTATATTTTCCAGGAAAACTGATGTGGATGGTCTTCCCTGCAGGCTTAATTTTCGATGTGTCTTTTCCCTTCTTACAGTGAATTACCTGTTTACTTATATGCAGACGGTTCACTTATCTGGGGCACTGTCCCCATAAACTTTTCATGAAGAGTCAGTGATCCCACTTCCTCGACCATGCCTCATCATTAATTTGACATGTGTTCTTGCATTCATTGTATCTCATGTCCCCCTGATAAGGGGCCCTTTTCAAAGTGGTACCTTACCCTTTGTAGTGCCTCAAACTAGATCCTGCTGAGACGAGTTATAATTTGTAAAGGTTTGTTTTAGTGCAAAAAATTGAAATCTATGTGTAGTTTCTCACAGGTGTTTTCTATGAACTTTTTGAAGATAGCACAAAAAAAGCAAAACCTACGAAGAAAAAAATAGAATAAAGCAAGAAAATATGTTGAATTTAAAGGGTTTCATTAGTGGCCAGCACTGTGGCATGGTGGGTTAAGCTGTGGCCTGTAGGACCGACATCCCATATGGGCACTGGTTCCAGTCCCTGCTGCTCCACTTCCCATCCAGCTACCTGCTAGTGTGCCTGGGAAAGCAGCAGAGGATGGCCCAAGTGCTTGGGCCCCTGTGCCCATGTGGGAGACCTGGAAGAAGCTCCTGGCTCCTGGTTTCAGCCTGGTACAATCCTGGCCATTATGGCCATTTGGGGAGTGAACCAGCAGATGGCAAGTTCTCTCTCTCCCTCTCTCTGTAACTCTACCTTTCAAATAAAGAAATAAATCTTTTTTTAAAGAAAAAGGTTACATTATAGGTGAGAGATATACATATATAAAATCTAAGAAAAATGTTGAATTCTAATGATTATGAACTTATAATTGTGTGTGTGTTCCCATCTGTGCCTGCTAAGAGGGCCTAGGCACTGTGCCAATCTAGAAGAGTGGGCACACGCAATACCCAGGTCTCAGGTCTCGGTGCATTCTCCATCAAAAGGGATCAGGGCCCTTGGAGAACCGGCCATCTCCAGACATGGACAAGATGAGCTGAAGGTATGTTCTTGGTTCAGAAATGAGAGAAACTTTAAGAGACTACAGTAGTGCATTAAAATGGTACCAGAGCTGCCTGAATACTCAGGTTCTCATAGGCAAATGTCAGACTATTTGAAAATCAAAAACAATAATGACTTTAAGAGGTTGCAAAACATGGAAAAGTTAAGATCAAAAATCCTACAGCAATATAAAGAGTGAAGATGTAAACTAATAATCTGGAAGAAACTCAGTAAGTTTACTGTTGCAATGACACAGAAAGGTTGATTCAGGCTAGGACTTGTGCTGCGTTCAGAACACAAGTGTGGGGCACAAGGAGGTTCCGGTCCCAGCACCATGCACTGGGAGGCAGTGTTACTCTCATTCCGTGGGGGCAGTCACTGGGGCGAGAACAAGGAGTTAGTCCAAGATCACGTAACTACCCCGGAGCAGAGCCAGATAGTTCATGTATGTTTACCTGGAGACAAGACTTCTAGGTACCTGATTCTACCAATACAGGCTTTCTAGGCATTTATATTGCACCTTCTGTGTACAAAGCACACTGACAAATGTTGGGATGACTTAGAAGCAGATCGTGTCTCCCAAATTAAACTCCGCCAAGCAAGATGAAACTGGGATCTGGGAGTCGTTCGAAACGAGTGGATTATTTTTTTTTAATAAAAAAAATTGTATTTACTTAGAAGCATTCATAATGTCAACAAAACAGCTGCAACTTTTTTTTTTTTTTTGCAATTACAGAGTGGTATTCAGTTAACAGAACAACAATTATTTCGTATAACTACCGTCCCCATATATAACTAATTTGTGCTGTGCACCAACAAGAACCTGCTTTAAATTTCCATGCCAGCCGGCGCCGCGGCTCACTAGGCTAATCCTCCGCCTAGCGGCGCCGGCAGACCGGGTTCTAGTCCCGGTTGGGGCGCCGGATTCTGTCCCGGTTGCCCCTCTTCCAGGCCAGCCCTCTGATGTGGCCAGGGAGTGCAGTGGAGGATGGCCCAGGTGCTTGGGCCCTGCACCCCATGGGAGACCAGGAAAAGCATCTGGCTCCTGGCTCCTGCCATCGGATCAGCGCGGTGGCGGCCATTGGAGGGTGAACCAACGGCAAAGGAAGACCTTTCTCTCTGTCTCTCTCTCTCACTGTCCACTCTGCCTGTCAAAAAAAAAAAAAAAATTTCCATGCCAATTTACAACCCCCATACTGTACCAGGCAAGGTTAATGGCTATTGAAAATACCACCAGGACAGGGCTATCTAAAGACACATTCGGTAGTGTGTTAACTATACAAAAAAAGACACTGTACAGTTTAAAAACAAATCTTACACAGCCTTACATTTCAATTTTTTTTCTTTAAAAGGAGTGAGTTGTGTACAGGGGGGTTAAATGCTTTATAGACAAGAAAAAAAAAACTGCGCTAGAACCAACTTATTCATCATCATCATCTTCTTCTTCATCTTCATCTTCCTCGTCTTCCTCTTCCTCCTCATCCTCTTCGTCTTCTTCATCCTCCTCCTCTTCCTTCTTTTTCTTGCTCTTTTCAGCCTTGACGACTCCCTTTTTCGCTGCATCAGGTTTTCCTTTAGCTCGGTATGCAGCAATATCCTTCTCGTACTTTTCCTTCAGTTTGGCAGCCTTCTTCTCGTAGGGCTGCTTGTCATCTGCAGCAGTGTTATTCCACATCTCTCCCAGTTTCTTTGCAACATCACCAATGGACAGGCCAGGATGCTCTCCTTTGATTTTGGGGCGATACTCAGAACAGAACAAGAAAAAGGCCGAAGGAGTCCTCTTGGGCGCATTGGGATCCTTGAACTTCTTTTTTGTCTCCCCTTTAGGAGGGATATAGGTTTTCATTTCTCTTTCATAACGAGCCTTGTCCGCCTTTGCCATGTCTTCAAATTTTCCCTTCTCTTTAGCAGACATGGTCTTCCACCTCTCTGAGCACTTCTTAGAAAACTCTGAGAAGTTGACGGAAGCATCTGGGTGCTTCTTCTTATGCTCCTCCCGGCAAGTTTGCACAAAGAATGCATATGATGACATTTTGCCTCTCGGCTTCTTAGGATCTCCTTTGCCCATGTTTAGTTATTTTTCCTCAGCGAGGCACAGAGTTGCCCAGTGCCCGTCCGGCTCTCACTTGAAACGAGTGGATTATTAAACCTGGAGGTGTCAGAGGGAGAAGAGCGGAATGCCGGGCCACTCCCCGATCACAACCTTCAGGGGCTGGCCCCTTTGCCCACGGACTGGCCTGAAAACAACCCCAAAAAGCATCAGTTACTCCACTTGGACGTATGGGAAGGCTAGTTTTTAGCTTGAAGTTCTGTAGATTAATTTCTTCTTAAAATGTTGCAGATGAAACTGGTCCATCTCTTGGATGACTTCGCACATTATAATTAAACATATTTTGCTTGTTTGAGCACATTATAAAAGGCTTAGAAACAAAGAAAGAAGGAAAATGAGAATTTTGGCAAACAGATGAAGTTCAAAGTTCAGAGCCTTTATTTAGACTGCAGTAATTACCGATGTTTGAATTTCATTGTAGTTCTTTTTGATATTTGAAATTTGGATGGAGATTTGGAAGCAAAGCAATTGTTCGTATTGGAATTAGGTGTATGAACCTCAACAAAAAAGCCACTGACTAAGAAGCCATTTGTCTCAGCTCACACTGGATATCTTTCTGATACTCATTGCATCACACTGTTGAGCTCATATGCAGAGGGAAGGGCAGATGTGACAGCCTTGGTTGACCAATTGGTGCTGCTGACTGGGCGCTGCAGAGGACGTTGGTCTCCTGGCAGACTGACAGACCCCTCCCCGCACGTGCTCAGTGGTGCCTCTCCACAGGTGGTCCCCTGGCCATGGTGTCCTTCACCTGGGAACTGCGCAAAGCAATGTGCAGGCGGCATCCTGTGCCTGGGAGTCAGAAGTTCAGGGGCAGACCCTGAGCCAGCATTTCACAGACTGCAAGTGTGCCAAACTTGAAAACCTGCTCCAAGAGGAGGGCGTTACACCGGCTTGTGCGCCTTCAAGCAGTCTGCGTGTTGAAGCTTTGTCATGCAGAACAAGAGTGGTTCCGTGAAGGTTTCAGTTAATCGTGCTTTCTCTATGGTTACTTAGAAATAATTAAATCAAACGATGCCAACCTGACCCATGTATATGGCCCCAGCAACGGAAGAGCCTGTTAATGAAAAATAGCAGTGTTGTCATAAAAATTTAAACGCATTGATTTCATTTCAGAGACAAAACGCTGAAGCACTTCATTTTATAACTTCTCCATTGTCCTTCCTGAGAGTGAGTGGAACGTGCAGAGAGCCTGATTGCCTAATTATGAGCATTATGTATTTATGCCCCCCCCGCCCGTACTAAAACACATCTTCCGATTTTCAGGTCCAAACTGCTTTGCCGAAACTGCTGTCATCCCAGCTGGCAGAGAAGTGAAGACTGACGAGTGCACCATCTGCCACTGCACCTACGAGGAAGGCACGTGGAGGATCGAGCGGCAGGCCATGTGCACGAGGCACGAGTGCAGGCAGATGTAGTGCTTCTCGGAGCGGGAGCCGCACGCGCGCTTTCCAGAGTAGTCAGTCACTGCTGTGACCACCCGGATGACTCTGAGGACACTTCCGACGAGGAACCGCGGAGACTGGTTGGTGCTTCTGCTTTTCTTGGTAACAAACACTGCAAGAGAAGGCAACGGATGTATTCCACACACCATCAAGGACCTTGGGCATAAAATCCCTCTCTAAATAAATGTGCTATTTTCACAGTAAGTACCCGAACGTGCACTATTATATATTAAATGTATTTCTATAACCCCTCGATTAGAGAGCGTATATAAATGTTTTCTAGAGGTACAGATTAAAAACACTGTGTTGTCAACCGTCCTCGCCGTGTGCCTGCATGTCTGTCAGTTCTAAGCCCAGCGAGGCGGGCGTTCACGAGGGCTGGGCCACCTTCACCCCCTCACACGCAGCAGTGCATCCAGCCATGGGTCACGCACGGGGTGCTTTCCCCTGCAGCCCGGTGCAAATTCCATGTCGTGACAGACACAGACCTCACGTCTATCCTCAGGGGATCGGCTCTTTATACAGAAGTTCTTTCCTTCTCTTAGTAACAGCCCACGTTTCAGTTTCTTTCTCCGTCATTTGGAAAGTGCAAGGCTGAAGATGACTAACACACTGTTCTTACTGCTTCCCAAGTTCCTCCATTGTGGACCACAGCTAAATGCACACATACTTCTTATTACATCACTCTGTTCTAGAATTGACTTGGATTCATTCCTTAAACTGAGGAACAGTCAGCTGGAAGGTCTCCGTTCCCACTCCAGGAGCATGCAGGGAAGCAGGGACGGTTCCCTCGATGCAGCCAAGTTCAGGGAACTGAACTCTGGATGAGCTTGCACTTCAAGTCCAAGTGCGGTACAGAAACCTCGGCTGCCAGTTGAGCTTCTCGCATTTCCCATAGGAATAAGCCATCTCCTCTCCCTACAGTGCACAGTAAGATCCCCAGTGACCGCCCTGTGCCAGCCATTCTCCAAGAGCAGGGCGACCAGCAGTCCTGTCCACCTAAGTTAAAATACACACACTTGAAGGCCAAGTGCACTCCACGGCTTGCTTGCGGTTACACAGGGTTCCAGACTTTGTTTTCCGTTCACTTGGACAGGGAACAAAAGAAGCTACTGGAAGCTCTGACGCTTTGATCCATGCATGTCACAGGATAGCCCACCGTGGCTGATCGCACCAGCACTTAGGGCACTGAGGAAAGAAGTGTTCGTAGGTGCAGACATAGAGTGAAACAGGAAACTTAGAAACATTTGAAGCCCTTAAAATGCTTTGCATACATTGTTACTCCTAAATTGTGTATTTATCAGCTATTACATATGAAGTAATTGGATGACAGAAAGCACTAAGGTGTGGCTTCTTGCCTTCTTGCCCGTTGGTCTCTGCACGACAGGAACGTGAGGTTGCAGCGTCCTGTGTTGAGAGCCTGACCAGCGCTCCGCCGATTGGGGTGGGAATGGCCTCCTGAAACGCACGCAGAGAACACAGCAGATGGTGAAAACACACGAATGGTGGTCAGTGCTTAAAGACCACTTAATCTTCAAGGGAACATGGACACATCTGTCACTGCTGAACCCCAAGGCTCAACCCCAAAGACTTTACCCAGCCTAATGCTGCCACTAACTCTGAACCATCACGCATTTGCATATGCTCTAGCTAATTTTCATCTCATTTGTAAAGAAAGTGGGAGTCAAATGGACCATATGCACACAGACTGCATGAACGCACTCAGGGAAATTATTAGCTAATTGCTCAGGTGTGATCAGCTTTCCACGACTTAACTGTCAGTATTAAAGACTGAGACATCGGCCATTCCTCCATCTTACAAGGGTACATTTTGTTGAGACAAGGTTACATAAAGTTGTCATTTTGCCAACAGATAGCACTAGCCCGCGTGTGGGTGGGCCATTATCTGCCTCATAGAGTGGACATCTTCTCTCACCTGCACAGGATGCTGTCAGACCCCGCCCATGTCGTCCACAGCCTGCTTCCCTCGCTAGTGCAATCCCTACGAGAATAGGCAGTGAGACCTGAAATAACCACAGTGGTCTCTGCATGCTATGAGAACGTCAGAAAACTGGGTCTTTGTTTGCTTATGTAGAGAATGAACATGGTGTCGCCTGGAAGATCCACAGACCTTCCCTGGATCGACACTGGTCTCAAGCAGTAAACCTTGTATTTTCTCTGAGGAAAACATTTCCATTTAAAAATATGCATCATTACAATAAAGGAGCTTGATACAAAAATGTTATTTCCTAAATATCTTTTTTAGTAGGTTGCAAATTATGGCCAATTGATACCTTAAGACATATACAGATATGTTGAAAACAACAACACAAGGGCAGACATTCTGGGTAAACCACCTGTCGGGACCCCAAGTCCCATATCGGAGTGCCTGGGATGGAGTCTTTCCTCTGCTTCTCATCTAGATTCCTGCTGATGCACACTCTGGGAGGTAACCGGCAGCAGCTGATTGCCTCAAGGACTTGGGAATCTGCCACCCACATGGGAGACCAGTGGAGGTCCTGGCTCCCAGATTCATTCTGGCCCAGTACTGGCTACTGCAGGCATTTAGGGAATGAGCCAGCAAATAATAGATTTCTCCTATCCATCTCTCTCTCTCTCTCTCTCTCTCTCCCTCCCTCCCTCCCTCCCTCCCTCCCCTTCCCCTCTCCCTCTCTCTCCCTCTCCCTGCTCTGTTTCTCTCAACCTACTGAACTGAGAATCAAAATGTGCCTTCTAATTAAGTCAAGAAATTAATGTTTTAGTACAGTAAGCAGCACATCTACAGAAAGACAAATGAACTATCACAAGAGATAGTAAAGGGACTGGCTAATTAGAGCATGAAATGGTTGAAATTTAGAAAATACAGAGTTGTGTTAGAAACCTTTAAAACTGCTGGTGCCACGGCTCACGTGGCTAATCCTCCGCCTGTGGCGCTGGCACCCCGGGTTCTAGTCCCAGTCGGGGCTCCAGATTCTGTCCCGGTTGCTCCTCTTCCAGTCCAGCTCTCTGCTGTGGCCCGGGAGTGCAGTGGAGGATGGCCCAAGTGCTTGGGCCCTGCACCCGTGTGGGAGACCAGGAGGAAGTACCTGGCTCCTGGCTTTGGATCAGCGCAGTGCGCCGGCTGCAACACACCAGCCATAGCGGCCACTTGGGGGGTGAACCCACGGAAAAAGGAAGACCTTTCTCTCTCTCTCTCTCTCACTGTCTAATTCTGCCTGTCAAAAAAAAAAAAAACCTTTAAAACTTTGAGAAGAATGACTCAAAACTCAAAAACTTTATTACATAAAAACACCCTTTTGAAAGAAAATAATAAAAGTAGGCTTTGGGTAAGGTAATTTTCCTTCAAACGTATTTTCAGAATTCGTTCATTTTTTATACTGGTAGCTTTTCTTTCTACACATGCATGCATCTGTACAAATGATTAAATGTACTCACTGAGACCTACAACGTACACAGAAACATGAGCAGGATCTGAATAAACAAAGACAAATGCACCAATGCATCACTGGGCGAAACTCAGAAACCCAAGGAAGTTGCCCTCAGCAGTAAAGGGTGTCTGGGGTGGCGGGAGACTCTGCCATACTGATTTCCCCATGTAAAGTCCGTGACCACTTGCACATAGCTATAAACACCAGTGTATGCATAGACACGTGTGTACAACGACATCATGTGCCAGTTACCATCTGGATTTATTTTTGAAGGAATTTTAAATGCTCCTTACATCCAGTATTTCAAAATTCAAAAGCAAAGTATTGTGAATGGCACCACTTCCCGCGTATGTGTAATGCATTACAAAGAACAAATGCTATAAAACCACAGTGCTCGCTCTCGACAGACTGACAGTGTTCTAAAAGACTGCGTTTGCTGCATGTGGGAGTCGCAGTTTCCTATGGATTGCGGACAGTCAGGATGGAAGTCAGTTTTCCAAGCTGATCCATGTCCTGCGTCCTAACAGGTGCGCAGGTCAGACCTCAGTTTTATCTCCCAGGGGTAACATGACCAATGAATCACCAGTGTTTCTCCTTTTCTGACAGAGGGAGGACTTGATGTTCAGTGCTGCACATTCCACAAGCAACTCCAGCTGGGGTAAAAGAGAGCAGGCACTGACCAAAGAGGAAGGCTCCAGATGCTCTCAGGAGACAGGGAGGGGACGGCTGGCTGGAGGACGAGACAGGCCTTGAAAGGTGAATGCAGGTTGTGCCCTCCTGGCCTGAGCCTGACTCCAAATCCGTGGGGCCACAGTCTCCTGACACCAAGGCCAGAGCGTCCCCCCACATCACAGACCGTGGGGCCACAGCTCCTGACACCAAGGCCAGAGCGTCCCCCCACATCACAGACCGTGGGGCCACAGCTCCTGACACCAAGGCCAGAGCGTCCCCCCACATCACAGACCTCCTCAGTGAACGTCCGCCATCCCTGCTTTAACTCCCAGTGAAGGCCATGCTGTGTTCATCAGGTGCACATTTCCCACCTCTCTGCACCTCAGCCTGTGCATCAGCAAAACAGGATGGGACCACCGGCCTCTGAGTGGATTAAATGCACAGACCCGACGAGACAGTATTTATAAGCACAGGGTCCATGTAGAAATGTTTGTTATCTGACCCACTGAAAAAATGAGAAGATTGTAATTAAAACATTTCAAAGAGTCTAAGTGAATAATTTGCAGATCGCTTTTTCATATCCTACCCTTCTTATGTATATTATATATGTCTTTGTTTTTACTTCATATCTGCCAGAAAAATGCTTCATATTACTTCATTTCCCCATGGTGCTGACTTTATATAATTAGGTCCGGTTTGCACGTGTTGTCGGATGGCTCAGATGTCAGGGGAACCTCCCAGAGGTCCCGAGTGCAGGCTCAAGTGGGGCGCAGGAGCCGTGGAAGTCAACCCACTTCCTAGTGCAACTCAACTCCCTTCAGGGCCTGCCCACGCTCCGTCTCATCACACCCATCTCCTGCTCAGCACACCCACAGGATGACAGCGCCCACTTCTGATGCAGCTCAGGTCACATGGCCACTCGCTGGCCAACACCAGAACCAGTGCCGATCCAATAGGTGTTTCCTGAAAGGAGAATATTCACGGGAAGAGGCCTGCAAGTCTTTCATCAACACTCCGAAGGTCTGCCCGGTGACCCACCCCAGGAGCCGATACAACCTTCTGTCTGCTACGCCATTCTAGCAGGCTGTACCCCTGGGTCACATTGCACAAGTGGGCAGCAGCTTGTGCAGTAGCCTCGGACGGTGGCAGAGCCATCTTGCTCTGACCCTGCTATGACTTGAAGATAGTTTGTCGCTTCTGAAACTCATGCTGAAGTGT